AAGATAATTCATTTATGTAACGAGTCATAATGAGATTGGACATCCAGGATGTCTCATACTTTTGATATTCACACATTCTGTAAATACATAAATGATTGTTTTGCGTTTTGAATGAAAGAATATTCACTGAAAGGGAGAATTTTGAAATGTATCCATTATCTAGTATAACATCTGAAGCCCATTAATATGTGCGTGTGCACAGGTTTGTCCTTCCTCAGCCACCGTAGGCTGAGTCAGAGACAGTCAGCTGTGTCGCTGTTAGCCTGTGAAGTGACAACATGGCCTTCACTCTGTACTCGCTCATTCAGGCCGCGGTCCTGTGTGTCAATGCTGTCGCCGTGTTGCATGAAGAAAGGTTTCTCAGCAAGAGTAAGTCGCTGCTGTCCGATTAGTGTCTGCCTCAAGTGTCATTTCAAATGTGAAATCTGCTTCAGCTAATGCTAACTACCTGCTAGCTAGAGCAAATGTAAACAACTTTGTTCTAACAATGAGGCATTACAGGGCTGACCAGAGCTAACACACACAACACTAATAGAAATATCATGTAAATATAATACTTATTTCTAGAAAGCAGAACTTGATCAATGCATGTTTAATGTTTTTATAATAATGAAGCCATTCATGTGTCTTCCTGTGTCTCTGTGAGGACCATGTTAAGCATGGACCCAACTGAGTGAGGACATTTGGCCGGTCCTCACTTTTTCAAAGGGCTGTTTGAGGGTTCAGACTTGGTTTTAGGGCCAGGGTTAGGCATTTAGTTTGAATGGTTTGGGTGAGGGGCTAGGCAATGTATTATGCAAATGAGTGTCCTCACTAAGATAGAGTTACAAACGTGTGTGTCCATTTTCAGTTGGCTGGGGAGTGGACCAAAGTGTCGGAGGGTTTGGAGATGAACCAGGCGTCAAAGCACAGCTGATGAACCTAGTCCGCTCCGTGAGGACAGTGATGAGAGGTGGGTGTCCACAGCATGTACACACACACACACACACACACACTTTGTGGAGTGGTGAGTCACACTTTCTCATGCCAAACTGTCTGTGTTGTCCTGCAGTGCCACTGATCGCAGTCAACACAGTCTGCATCGTGTTGCTGCTTCTGTTTGGATGAAGTGAAGAGACAGAAGATGTCAGGAGAACATCTCCATCATCTCAGGAAACCATTGTATCTCTCTGACACAGAATGTCTCCTTTCAACCTGAGGATGATTGTTATCGTTTGATATCCCACATAATTTCATGGGTTTCATACAGCACAGTTGTTCACAATATGTAAATGCAGCTATGTAGAATGCCAGAACATCCCTCTTTCTTTGAAAAGTATAAAAAAGTAATAAAGTTATTTTTATTATTGGTTTGTTTGTTTTTTGAAATCATTAACAAAAAACATGCTTTTGTACTTCCTAGAAGTGAAGAACTGAACACCAACTGTCTTGTGTTTGAAATGTGAAATGAATTCATGTCAGGTGGTTTTGTTGTAGAAATACTTGAGAATAAACATTTTTAAACATTTCTCCTGGTGTGCTTGGATCAGTCCATGGATGGAGTGTCATCAAAATTGGTGTGAATTTAATTGATGAGAGTTTCTGCAGATTACTAACTTGTGGAGCTAATTGGTACTGTGGTAAAACACAGTATTTTAAGTTTGGTAAAAATATCAGTTATGAAACTGGCAGGACAAATGTAGTAATGTTTTTCATTTAGGGTAGTTTCCTATCGCCCCCTCTGCTTTCAAATGTCATTTAGTTTTGGCCATCCGCAAAGGAGAACAGTCAATTGAAACATGTTTACTTTGTTAATTTTATTGCAAAAATATATCTTCCATGGGCTAAATCATTTACAACAACAATGCAAGACTGAGAAAATTCAATCCAAATTTATATAAGTTTGCACAAACACAAAAATCACAAGTGAGAGAATCCTAAAGTAAAATTCATTGAATTGTACTAATAACCTATCAATATTCCCTGTCGGGTTCAATTTACAACTAAACTCATCACATTCCAGCACAGTACCACAATCATCCATTAAATGTTAAATAAATCATATTATTTTCTGTGTTTGGTTTCTGGAGACAACAAGTGTGTGGAGACTCTTTCTTTTGTCAAATTGATGGCAAAACCTGCTTACCACTGTCATGTCAATAAATAGTTGAATGTTTCTTCCAGCACGCTCGCCATAGTAGATTCCAGTGTTGTTTTTCCCCACTGGACACAATCACTGAAAAAATAAGTAAACATGTCAAGTTTCAGAAGATTTCCCTGTAGAAATGTTGACAACAATTAAAGGGAAAGTTGGCCACTTTTTCATTATGGTATTCATAACTTGCTCCATTAAATAATATTTTATTAAATCCTTAAGAGGTGACAAAGAATTTTTACATCACTCTTATTCATGGTGACCCTCACTGTATGGTTGTCAAGATTGACAAACTTTTACTGTAGAAATGTTAACATTTTAAGCTTTTTCATCATATCAAACTTGCTCATATGCTATATATATATATATATATATATATATATATATATATATAATCCTTAAGAGGGGACAAAGAATTTTCATTTATTCACAGTGACCTCCACTGTCTCAGGTTTTACTGTAGAATTTTGGAGAAAACTAAAAGTTGGCAGTTTTCTCTCTTTATATACAGTCTATGCTTTTTTCATTAGAGCACTCACAACTTGCTCCTATAAAATTAGTTTTTTTAATCCCTGAAGTGACAAAGAATTTTCACGCCACACTTATTCATGGTGACCCCCACCGAGTGTACCGTAACACCACAAATAGAAGCGCCTCAACTTTCAAAGTTGAGGCGCTTTCGCAAACGACGGATCACGTGACCGCAGTAAACAATCATGGAGTCGCTGGGAGCAGAGTTACGGGACATGGCACTCAACACATAGTCTATGACGCGTGTTCTACTTAGAATCACGCAAGTTTGCGTCAAAATGGGGAACGCGCAGAGTTGCGGTGTGGCCTGTCTCGCCTTGAGTTCAGTGTATTTTCTTTACGCTCACATTTACCGCTCTCACCAGCTGCTGCGGACAAACGTGTTCACCAGCGACCACCTGCCCGGCTCCTTCTATCTCTACCTGAGGAGAGTGAGCAGGGCTGCGAGCAGGAGAGCAGGGCACCTACACACCACACCACAGAAGAAGGAGGAGGGGGGGACTGTGTTCACGGTCCTCCAGTGCAGGTGAGCATCGTCCACTCGAGTCTTTGTTGTCCTCCCCCACACTGACAGTGTCTGTGTCTGCCAGGCTGGACCCCGTCACTCTGAGGAGGTTCTGCAGTGCAGGAGGTTATGGTTGGGATTATCCTGACACTGAATACAGAGACACCCCCCTGTGCTTCCCGGACTTCCTGTGTGGCAGACTGCTGCTGATGGTGCTCACTGATCCCAGCTTCAGACTCAGCCCAGCAGGTAACACTCAGAGTCATAGGGACTTCAGTGTTTCAATTGAAAGCAGCACCAGTTCTCCCTTGCAGTGCACTTGCCACCGAGGTCGTTCCATGCTTCCTCCCTGATGACACTGTGCCGTGAATGAGCATCTAAACATCCAAGGTGCCGAAAACCATTGGGTTCTCACTTAACAAATACTAAGCAAAGCAAACAACATAAGAAACTAGAAACGCACCCAGTTGAGTGCATCCCTCCACCAAGCCCCAAAACTCTCCTCAAATTCAATCAAGCTGCACCAAATCTTACACAATCCCTGAAACATACCACAATTTCTTTCATCAAGATCCACGAATCTGGGAAAACAGTGAAAACGTTTTAAACACTCTGGTTGCAATGTTAATGAAAGTGATACAAAAAACATTTCTGCAGGTGGAAGTTGGGCTGATGCTTAACATACATAACGTACATGCCTAATACAAATATACATTTTTTTTAAATTAGTCTCATTTCAAATGTAATTGTAATCACATTCTGACACCTCTAATTTACAAAACATACATCTTCTTCAGGGAGTAAAGGGAGTGCAAACCTCCACAAATGCCCAACAGTTCCCTTATGAAACCAAATTGTGCACACTATTAAACACCAACCCCTTAACATGCCTGCTTTTTCATCAAGATCCATGAAAAGTTCTCTAAGCAATCAAGGAGAATGTTATAAAACTGTTATAAAACCCATAACACATCGTTCCATGAGGTTTCTTGGTAATCTGTTGGCTACCTAAAAGACAAACAAACAGATGAAAATATAACCTCCTTGGCAGAGGTAGTGGAGAGTGGCACAAAAAGGTAAAGAACAATCCAAAGAAATCCAGTTGTGTATGTGACACCAACACTAATCAGTTGGTGTCACATAAACAGATACAAACATAGAAATGCAAAACCTGGAGTCAGGAGAGTCATTATAACATCAAATAATAATAAAGATGTATAGTTCATTATGTTTATCATTATCAGATTATTATGTGCTGGCAATAAAAGGTTAGAAAATGGTGGTTATGTGATGAGTACCTGTGTATTATGTCTGCAGGTCTGGTTCGTGTGCGTCAGAGCGTGAAAACCTTTCAGCCAATTGATGAGCTGAAGAAAGGTCCGTTCATGCTGCAGGTACGAGTTATGGAGTACCGGCCCATCGATGCAGGGGTGGAGGTTGACGTCTGTCTGTCTGCCACCTCTCGTTCAGGGAGCCTAGTGTGGGAGAGCGTCCTGACACTGCTGTCCAAAAACAAGCTCCACACAGCCGACAGGTGCTTCACAAAGACTGAACATGAGAGTGAGCAGTGGTTTTTTACACCATGAACATAAATGAATGTCTTCCTTTTACAGTCGCAGTTGTTGTTTATTGTTTACCCATAAAAATGTGTTCACCCAGTCACCATGACATACATGGGTGCTGACTCGTGTCCATAATCTGACAGGCCAACCATGTGAGCCTGTGCCAGACAACATGAAGCAGGTAGAGCTCAGAGTTCCCTGGAGAACCAACCCGTTGTGTGCATGGTCCTCCTCTGACTACTCCCTACATCGGCTCCTCTCTCTACCATCCAGGCTGTTCGGCTGCAGGTCGCAGTCCGCACCGAGTCTCTGGATGTTGTCAGTCTGCTTGGCTGAAATTGAAAAACACAAAGGTAATTTATTTAGCAAAATGATTGTGTTGAGTTATTTTCAGCAGAACCTGTCCGACTCTGTCACTTGTTGGTTGTGTCATTAGGGGTTGAAGTCATCACAGCTCCGATCAACGTCACCGTCCAGTTCAAGGAGCCTCTGTTGGTACCAGGAAAAGTGGTGATCAGGTTTTGGGAGATGACCACAAACAGGGGCCAGTCCTGTGCTGAAGGCCTCAGCTTCCACATGCAGCAGCCTGGAAGCAACATATCTCATGTGGTGGGGAGGATTTCTAAGTCTTGATTAATGTGGAGTGTTTATATATCTGTATTGTTGCAAAAAATAAAAATGTAATATTTTTCTTTTCGATGTACTTCAGTTTTATTTAATAGTACATGGATATTCAGTAACTAAGTGCTCTAGGCTGGTCTGGATAATAATACATTTTCCTTCTTCAAAATTTGAATGACTACTTTTTCATAAGAACAATATTGATGGATCTGCCTCTGAGCCATGTCTTGGTTTTCAGCTTCATTGAATGCAGCCACTATGGTACCTATGATCATTTTAACTGTTGTTCCTGATGTAAATAGTCAAATATATAAACATGCCAATAATAACTCTGTGAACATGCATTTGTAAGAAGTTAACTGTAAATGTAAATTCATTTTTAATAAATTGACATCACTTCCAAACTTATAATATTTTAGTAATCAGAAGAGGCTCATTGTTTGTCTATAAGAAATAAAATGATCAGTTGATTTGGTGTTAAAGGAGCCATGTCATCTAATTAAACAGAATTTAAATGGTCTTTATTTATTCTGTATTCATTCACCCATTCACACACATTAATACATTGCATCTATGTGCCACACTTTTCTCTTTGGGGTTCAGTGTCTTGCCCAAGGACACTTTGGCATGTGGAACAGGGAAGGCAGGGATGGAAGAGGACGACCACTCTACCCCTGAGCCACAGACTTCACTGTAAAGATGTTCATTGTTAAATAGAATGTCATGCCTATGCTACATCATAGGAAGGCAAATACCAATACTTAAAATGTACTCTTTTGTATGGTACAACTTGGTAGCATCAACGTTTTATTTTGACCATATTCAAGTTTACAGTACTTCACGCTATAATTTAGAAAGGGGAACGATGTTGAATGAAACAGGAAGAGAGCCTTTAGACATTTTGGCACACCTTGTACATCACCCACAGGTAAGTCTTTACTATCTAGACTTCATTGACATCTTTGCGTCAAAATGCTAAAGGCCTTTACATGTAGACCTAAAGAGTATATTCCATAGAGACATTGTGGCATTTGGGAGAAACTTGCAGGTTAGTTTGGCATTTTGAAAATATACTTTTTTGTTTCTAGGTGAGAAACGGAAATATGAAGTTGAATGCCACATTTATGTCTGTGTTGTAAGTGTGTTATTTTTTTTAATAAATGGATGAGGCGGATTTAAGAGCTATGTTAGAGTAGAGCAGGTCTCATTTTGACCTTTGGATGGAGGCTAGCTGTTTATTAGAACATATAAATCCTAAAAAATGAGACATGATAGAGTTTCTCATCCTTGAATATCGTTCAATTACACCACTCTTATCTCGATGATTAATTCCTTTTGACCTGAAATGATTATGATAGCTGAGAAATAATATGAATTTGAACATTACTGATTAGTGTTATCAGCAGGAGTCATTGTGCTGTCGGTTTTATAGACCTACTGTACATGAGCACTTTGTCAGATGCCATGTCTACTCATTGACTGTACTCAGCTAACGCAGACATTGTCCCTTCAGGCCATGAGGACTTCTCAATATTTGATCCCCTCCATATTCCTCGTTGCAGCATTCATGTATGTGGAGGTCTGTCCTCCTGTATTATTTATTGGAACATATTCAGTGCATGGGACTGAGAGAAGTGGCTTTTCATGCATCCCTGCACCACGGCAACACTTTAAAAAAGGAATCAGGGGCATGGTTGTTGCATGATTGTGTAGAAGAGGAGAAGAAACGAATGGAGCTTTAACTTGTGGTTTTCTGGAGTGATCTGTGTTTCGTCAACATTATTTACCTTTACTTTAAAATGAAAGAATGTGGCATTCAGTTTGATGTTTTTTTAATTATTTATTGAAAAAGGTCAAAGATTGGAAATCATCATTGTGGCACATTGCTCTTGGTCACCACCATCCTAAATGTTTTGTTTATTACCAGGATCTGTATGTTTTTTTTCTTTTTTCAATATTCCATGTCAATTTGATATACAGAAGATTTTGATTGCTGTGAAAATATGATAAACTACTAATCATAGAAAAAACATTTATTGAAAAAAAAAAATTGACATTGACAAAATGAATATAGGCAGGAACCTTTTATGAATAGTTTATACTGGCTGTACCCTGTGTGAGTATGTATTTCTAGGTTCCTTTTTTGTAGTGCTTTTTCTTCTCATTCAATGGGAGCAGTTGTCTTGGAAGTTAATGTAGATACTGATTGTTTCCAGGTGTATTAATATAAACATCATTCTAAATCCCACAGCACGACCAAAGCCTGTTAAAAAATAGAAACAAATGCAGTATTGCTGGTGTGATAAGAATCAGTGGAACATCCTGTGACCGCCTCCCTGCACACACACTGAGCACTAGTTGCAGTACAAGATGAGGGGAGGGTGTGTGTGAACAATCTCTGTTTGTAGACATCCAGGTGGAGGAGGAATCAGATTAAGCAGCTGTACTGGAGATCAGTCGCACACACTCTGGGTCATCCCACCTCTGCCATGTGATTCTCATTACAGAGACTTCTGGGGAGAAGAGTTCAGCTGTGGACAGCTCGAGGTAAAAGAATCGTTTTTTTTCAAATATTTAAATCTAAATGCATTTTGAGGAACAACTGAGATTTCTGCACATATGATCCTGCAACTGCTAAGTCACTTCTGATTGTTACACACAGTGACACTCATTTAACAACTTAGAATTGAGGCTGGTAAAAAAAGTTATCTATACTGAGGTAAATCTACAGTCTTGAAAACTGAGTTGATTACAAACAGTACTGGATAACTGTTATGTTGTTGTACAGAAATACAGTTTTAAGGGTACATGGAACAACTATAAGGACTGCAAGGAAATTATTGTCTAATTTCTCCTTGCCTGCTGTAAGTTCCTTCTGCCACAATAAAAGCTCTTGCCAGCCTAACCACAGCCATAACTGAGACAACAACCAAATGCAGAGTAAAGCAGTAATGCAGTGAGTGTGTTTAAATCGTATCTATTTTTCATCCATTGTTGTTCACTCGCCACCACAAGCTGGAGTGGAGCACGCTGACAGTCGCTTGAACATGAACATTGCTGTTATTATTCATTTATAAAGTCCTGATTCTGTCATGCATATGAATCAGTCAAGTGTAAGAGGGTCGGCGTGTGAAGCTCCAACACACAGAGCTTTGCATTATGTGGCGCCATTAAATGGAGACACATGAGACACAAATGAAGAACTCTTTAAATTATGGACTAAATGTTAATATATATATAA